AATTGAAAACAAGTCAGCCAGTATCATAATGCCCCTGTATAAATCAATAGTACGTCCTCATTTGAAGTACTGTTTACAGTTCTGGTCACCACACCTCAAAAAGGATATTATAGCATTGGAAAAAGGGGCTTCTCTTATGTTCATAATAATAATAATAAGTGGAGACCCGCAAGAAACTTGCGGGATGGTCATTCCATTCCTCACACCTTTGATTCCACCCCTCTACCCTTACCTGTCTCATACCCTTTCTCCCTTCTGAGGGTGGAGCCTTGGGACAGTGAGGCTTGGGGAGGCAAGCAGCCTCAGTAGGGTATATTGCCATAGACTCAACCCTCCAAAGCAGCCATTTTATTCAGGGGAACTGATTTCTGTCACCTGGACAACAGTTGTAATTCTTGGTGATCTCCAGTCCTCACCCAGAGGCTGGCAGGGGTAGTTCTCATGGAGGAAATGGCTGGTTTGGAGGGTGGAGTCTATGACATTATACCTGTTTGAAGTTCCTCCTCCCCTCAAACCCCACCCTCCCCAGGCTTCACCCCTCAAATGTCCAGGAATTTCCCAACCTGGAGTTGGCAACCCTATTTCCTTCTCACCCAACAGACAACCAGCCTTTATCTGCCTCTCTGTCTTCAGCTTTCCGTCACCACTCCCCTCCCCCACATACTCTACCTAGGGAAATTATAGTCTTTCTCCACAGTGTGGACCAAACAGCTTACATTATCCTCACCTCTTTTTTATCTGCACAACAACCCTGTGAGGTTGGTTGGGCTGAGATTATGTGACTGGTCCAAAATCACCCAGTCAGCTTCCACCGCAAGATGGGGATTTGAATTTGGGTCTTGCAGACCCTACTCTGAAGCTCTAACTGCTGCATCACACTGGCTTTCATAGGGTGGCTGCCTGCTGATGAACAGCAGCAAGCAGCCGGGCCTAGTTGAGTCATGCAAATCAGGTGGTATCAAGTCACCCAGAGGGTGCTGCCTAGGAATGCCAGCCTCCAGGTGGGACTGGGGGTCCCCTGGAATTCCTGCTCAGCTCCAGACTACTGAGGTAACTTCCCCTGGAGAAAATGGATGCTTTGGAGGGTGGACTCTAGGGCATTTTGCCCCACTGATGTCCCTGTCCATCCCCAGGGTCCAACCCCAAATCTCCAGGAGTTTTCCAGCCTGGATCTGGCAACCTTACCCCCCCATCCTTTGCCAGTGCCCGGGGGGGACCTGGCAACCCTAGACTGCTGCCAGGCCTAGGGTTGGCAACTTCCAAGTGGGGTCTGGAGAGTGAACTCTAGACAGCGCAGAGATCTGTTTCCCTAGAAAAAATGGCTACTTTGGAGGGTGGACTCTGTGGCATTATACCCAGCTGAGGCCTCTTCCTTCCCCAAATTCTGCCCTCCAGAGAGTCAACCACACAACCTCTATGAATTCTCCAGCCTGGCACTGGCAACCTTGTCAGGCCTGGCCCCACGGCTCCCTCCCTCACTTCCTGAAAGGCCAAAAGAGGTCTGGAAAGGGCCCTTCTCCCACCCGTTTACTGACAGAGCCAGTTAGAAGCCTCCCCCCCCAACATTGTAATCTCTCACTGTTGATGCTTGGAGTTAGATCCCTGCAGAGGCCATTTCAAAAGGTTTGGGGGGGAATTTGCCCTTCCCTGAGGATTTCCCCCCCCCCTTTTTGGATTTTTCTGCAGCTACAGGAAGGCCCTTGAGACTGTAGAAAGAGCTGTTGGGGGAGAGTGAGCCCTCTGTTGGCAGAAATAAGTATACACACACAAAAAACCCCTCTGGGAAATAGTATAAAGATAAGTAGTAGTAGTAGTAGTAGTAGTAGATTGAGATAATGTTGGCATCTTGGTTTATTACAGATGTGCGTGTGTGTGTGTGGTGTTCAGAATGTTAGGTCCAATCCAGAGAGCAGCTGAGAGATAGCATTCCACGCCCATCTATGTTTGTTGCCACATTGCTCTGGGAAATGGTGAGAATTTTCCTTTCAGGGAAAATAAAAAAACCAACTGTCCCTTGATGGTTAGAGTTCCAATGCAGCCCTACAGGGGGAAAACAGCTCTCACTGCATCCCAGAGAAAGAATGCATCAAACATTTGGGTGGCAAGCCATACAATGATTCCACTGGATCACGTGTAACCTGTGGTGCATAAGTTGTATAACCATGGTCTAAAGAATGTTGTGCTCCATAAATACAATTAGGACTGGGTCATAGATTTACTTGAACACATAGTAAAATAGCAGGAGTATACCATTTGTCTTTTTCTACTTGAAATGCAGAAATAGATGAAACAGGGAGAAAAAGAATGAATAAACCAGGAAAAGAACTGGAACATTTGATTCCTAGAAATAACGCCCTCAGAAAAGACACAGTTTAAGCAGGGGACAAGTTGAGCAAACTCCGGAGGACAGGAGGGCCTGGCGTGATGTGGTCCATGGGCTCACAAAAAGTCGCTCGGCTGTGCGACTGAACAACAACAGCAACAAGCAGGGGACACTACATTCAGATAAATCTGAATGATATATACAACTTTTACCTTACTTAGCCGAATGCAACCCAGCAAAAGATGGAGGTAAAAAAGCCCTTCTGTGTTGTTGCCAGTCTGGTACTACAAAGTAGTACTACTGGTGCTACTAGACCTTGGTTAGATCATCATTGTTGGGATACATATATAAGGCTGCATTTAGAATTTGATTGTGATACTACATCACATAGAAAAATGAAAGTAAGTTTGGAGGGGCAGAGGTAGAGCATTTTCTTGGCATGCAGAAGGTTCCAGATTCAAGCCCTGGAATCTCCAATTTAAAAGTATCAAGTGATATGAAATGCCTCTGCCTGAGACCCTGGTGACTTGCTGCTAGTCTGAATAGGGAATATGTATCTTGATAGACCAATGTACTTAGTATAAGCAGTTTCATGTGCTCAACTCTTACTCTAAAAAACAATCAGTGTATTTTTTTTAAATGAAAACTTCCTCAGTTAAGAAATTTTTTTTGGTATTTTATGCATGTCGAGCCACTTTGCAAGTAGAAATGGTTAGAAATAAATGTATGCAAGATGTTGACTAAAGTTAACTGGTAAGGAAGTAGGCCCCCCTCTTTTATCTTTAAAGTTCTTTGGGGATTAACCAAATCACATTAATTTATTAGGATGAATTATGCCATGAGCATGTCCGACAGTTGAATTTACTGTGTTAGAAAGAGTTAGTCAGACACGAGCTGGTAACCCATGCTGACTGACAGGTTTCCATTGGGTTTTTGAAAACCTGTGCCTTTGCAAACATTCCACCAACTCAAGCCAGTTGTAAGCCATTAGTGTCACTAGTGACTACTTAGATGTACACCAAATTGTAGGGTTTTATTAAAACACAGTATTTATGATTTATTTATTTATAATAATAATAATATTTATTGCATTAGCAAAAAGCCATAGCAACTGTACAGGATAAAATAAAATAAGTTTAATAAAAAAACAACAACACACACTTAAAAGGTCAACAGTTATCAGCAGTAAACTAATTAAACTCAGGGAGATTTGTTTTCTTAATCACCGCAGCTAGAAAGGAAGCCACTATAGCCGTGGTTTGATTGTCAGGGAAGTTATCAGACAATAGCACTGAAACTACCCAAGGAAGGAGGGGTTATTTATTTATATGATTTGTGACTCATTATTTGTATATTTGAACAACTGCCTGCTGAGTGGAATGGTTATACAGTAAAGATGTGGGAGGGGGTAGTAGAACTCAACTGGTGAGAATGTACATATGCAAAAAAAAAAAGTTGCACTTTTCTGCATGGTTAGGAAGGAATACATTGAATCAACAGCCACTAACAGGTTAATGAACAGTTGAACTGATTGTCAGAAAATCAGCTTCCTGCTCACGACCAGTAAACAGAACAGGAACTAAATGAAGTATTTGAGCATCCTAGTGATGAATTGTGATAAAGCTTTAGTAGCTAACTTTGATAATTTTAAAATATAATCTGTAATTTTTTAAAAAAAACCTGAGATGGAATCTGATATTTTACATATGGAATATTTTTACCTAGGTTACAACATTTCTTATTTTTCTTTTCTGTTCCACTTCCTTCTTACACCCATCTATCAGGGTGTTTTTAACTTGATGCATTTAAACTAATATGTAATTAACATCAAAGGAAATCTGATTTGCCTGTAAAGTACTTACAATAAAGTGATGTTTACAGGGTTGTTTTAAACATCTAAATTACTCTCCAGACAACCTGATTTTGATGGTGGAACAGAATCAATGCATAAGCAATCTTCTGTTCTTCTGTGTTTGGTTTCTGTACTACTGAGAATGCAAAGTGTACCATAATTCTCAATTCACTTCCTCCCCCCTTTCAAATTACCAGAATACATGAACACATAAGCACATGCATTAAAACTGTGTATGCATCAACTAAGAATTAAATTTGGAAATTGTACAAGGTAAAGTAGAAGACAATGTAAAACAGAAAATGGAAGAACCAGTGCCTGGAAAACAAACAGCATGGAAACAGCACCTCCAGTTTAGTGAATAATAATGTTTACATACATTAATATTTGCTAGAAAGGGAAAACATCTAGCAATGGAGGGGATTAATAAATATAATCCGATAAATAAATATAAATAAAATAATATATAGAACATTACATATGGACATTTATGGGTCCCTGCCCCCGTAATAGTTCAAGAAAAAAGAAAGCCTTTATTTATATCATTGTACTCAAATAAAAGTTGTTATTATTGAGTAAATCCAGGAAAAGAGGTTAAGGATTTAATTGCAGAGAACCTTAATATGTTGTTTCTTTAAATTTTGTTTGTGGAAGCAAGGTCATATCTATCTGAAATATAATTTAATATGTAAAATTAGCAGCTGTGCTATACACTGTCATATTTAAGTACAGAAATAACTTATCTATTAGCAAATGTGAACGAGCTACTCTTCTCTTTCTTTTGTCATAAATCTTTATCTCAGTTTGAATTTGGTTTTCATGCAGGTGGTTGACCAGATTGATACCCTCACTTCTGACCTACAGCTGGAGGATGAGATGACTGACAGTTCCAAAACTGACACATTGAACAGCAGCTCAAGTAGCACAACAGCATCAAGTTTGGAAAAAGTCAAGGTGCGAACCAATGCACCACTCATCAAACCCCCAGCCCATCCATCTGCCATTCTCACAGTACTAAGGAAGCCTAATCCACCACCACCTCCTCCACGATTGACTCCTGTGAAGTGTGAAGACCCTCAAAGGCCAGTTATCCCTGCCAACCCTGTAAAAACGAATGGGACTCTATTGCGAAATGGAGGTTTACCAGGAGGACCAAATAAAATTCCAAATGGAGATATATGTTGTATACCTAATAGTAATTTGGACAAAGTTCCAATGCAACCTCTGATGCATAGACCTGAAAAAGACAGGTGTCCTCAGCCTGGAACAAGGGAACGGGTACGATTTAATGAAAAGGTGCAGTACCATGGCTATTGTGCTGACTGTGATGTTCGGTATAATATTAAAAATAGGGAGGTTCACTTGCACAGTGAATCTGTTCATACACTGGGAAAGCTTCCTCACCAATGTCCTCCTTTACCACCACCACCACCACCTCCCCCACTTCCTCCTTTTTCACTTGAAAATGGGGGAATGGGAATAAGCCCCAGTAGTAGCTTTCCCCCTCTCAGACCTGCAACTGTGCCTCCACAAACTGCACCAAAACCCCAGAAGACCATCTTGAGGAAATCGACCACTACAACAGTGTGATGTATCCCACCTGGAAAACTGTTTGTTTTTCTTATGTATAAACATAAAAAAGGTAATGAGCACTTTCTACTCGAGCAATAAAAAGCCCAATATATTACACCCTTTCTTCTGCAAAGTGGCATAAATATGGCATGGTAAGTACAAACAGAACTGTGCATTGATGTTTGATGCATAAACTGCATAATTTCATTGTTGAAAACTCATGTAATGGCTGTGTTGCAGGTCATCAATCGTATAAATTACTACAGCAAAACATCAGAAGTTATAGCCAAAAATCAGCTTAGAAACTATATGTGTAGTAGCAGTTAATGGTGAAGTTAAATCTTGTTTAGAGAATATAACAACTTGTTCTGCAGGATTATTTTTTGTAGTAGATGATACTTTCAAAATCCATTTTCTAGACGTTTAATATGAGATTTATGTAGAACAATTTGAAACTACAAAGGTCTTGTACTTTAGCAAAAAAGGAAGACACAGACTTTAAAGAGTAAAAGATAACGAGCGGTGGAAGAACTAGAACACTGTACAATGTCCATGTTTTTCCTCAAGAATTTGGGATTGTTCAGGGGAGGCTGGCACAGCAGGAGAGATGCAACATGGCCTAATAACTGCTCCTTGTCCTCTCTGCTTCTTACATACAACCAATTCAAGGCACAACTCCTTAATCTTGTCTTTGTGCAACTTGGCAGGCAAGTCCCTCCCTTCAAAGACTCACATGGATAACTCTTACTAAGAAGGTACAGTGGGAAGTGAATATGTTCATGGAGGGAGGGGATCTCCAGGAGGAGGTAAAGAGAGATTGACAGACCTAGTCAGTGGATTTTTGGGTTGCACTGTACAGTCAAGGACTTAGTTGGGCAACTGATTCATTGGATGAGCACAGTTGTCTGGATTCATTGGATGAGCATAGTCTGGCATAGGCTAACTGGAGGATTAGTAAGTAGTAACTGGATTAGTAACTGGAGCCTTGTTGTAAGCCACCCTGAGCCCGCTCACGAGGAGGGTGGGGTATATATATAATGAGATAATTAAATAAATAAAGTTTTCACCCTCTTTACTCCATCCTAGAAGCTCCCTGTAACTAGGTATACATCCTAGCCATCTACACAAGGCCTGTAGACAGCAGTGATCCTTGAGCTACAAACCTTGTCAGTGGAGAGGTCAGAAGCTTTAACCCGGTCTCTGCTTTCATGTTCCCTCCCCACCAACTGCCTGGTGATGCTGTTGGAAGTGCTTGGCTTCTTCCTTTTGTGCCTGAAAAGCTGGTGCAGAAGGTGACACATAAGGTGTCAGGGAGTAAAGAATCTGCCAACTCTCCCAGCTCTGTTCCTCCTCAGCAACCACCCCAGTACATACTATAAAGAGAAGTATAGGACTTTCCAATTGGTAGCTGGCCAGACACACCATGAGGAAGGCAAAGTAGTCGCCTCATAGCATGCCCAAGTACTTTTTTTTTGGGGGGGAAGCAAGCTGGCAGAGATGGCAGGCTCTTTTTACAACCTGCCCCAGCATTTCCTCGGCATCCATCCAGGTACACTATAATGAGGGCTAGCTGGCGAAGGAGAAGAAGATGAGTATAAAACAGCCCCCTCCTCCACATGTTGGTATGTATGTGACCAACATATTGCAAATAGCTTGCAATACATTACAAGGGGGGGGGAGAGAACCAACACCCCACGTAGCTTTTACCAGATTGACTCTTAAATCTATAACTACTATGAGAAAATCATGAACCTAAAACAAAAATTCCAATATTTACTCAAATGGAAAGCTTGGTTTTTCCATAGGTATGTTACAGTTATGTCCAATAATTTTGTTTGTGTGTAACATTTTTAATGGGGTCATCTTACATTCAGGGTTATAGTCCTTTTGAATAAATATGGTCCTATTTGAAAACTTCTTCCATTTTGTTTATCTGCTTTACTGATAACAGTGATGTTATTTCTAAAATAGATGAGGTCTGTTGGTCTGAAGCAATAGAACAAACTTTGAGTCCAGTGGCAGCTTTAAGACCAACAAAGTTTAATTCTTGGTATAAGCATTCATGTGCATAAGTGTACATGCACACGAAGGCTTATATTCAGAACGAAACTTTGGTCTTAAAGGTGCCACTGGACTCAAACATTGTTCTCTAGATGATGTCTGTTAGACTCCTTTGATTATTGACTGTGCAATGTAAGCAGAGTTGCACTTTTCTAAGTCCATTGCTTTTATATGACACCTCATCCCAGAACGTTTTGTGATTGGTCCTACCTCTACTATTTTGTGATGGTGCCTACTACCTTCTCTCAAAACCACATTTTCTCTGAGAGAGAATTTTGTAGGAGCCACTATACCAATCTCTGTTGCCCCTTCTGAAAAATGGCACAACATTATTTATTTGGTAATGATACGGTCATAGGTTATGTCTTTTATTTTTTCTATCTACAAAATAATGCCATTGACAGCAGTAAGCATTTTGGAGTGGTTGTGGTTTAGGTGCTTAAATATTTTCAAAGAGCTTTGAAGATTGAAAATATGGTTGAGTAATAAAATTCTCTCTCCCTCATCCCCTCCCTTTTTAAAGTGCCCCATGTTTAAAAGCAGATGCAGAGTCAATGTTTGTTCTAACTGTAAGGTTAAACCACCGTAGGTTTGACTTTAAAATGACTTGTTATGGGGAAGAATGTCTCTAGTCTTAGAAGGTAGTAAACGGGTTGTGACAGGCCATGGATGGAGTTTCCCATGTCTGATCACTCCAGTGCTCTCTCATGGCATTGGGATGGTCTGATCACGCCATCCCGACTCCATGTCGTTGTTTTTTCCCCCTTCTCAGTATGTGCATAATTGCAAACTCCATAGGGAGCCCTCAGTGCAGAGATGTGATTCATCAATTCCTCGTTTAAGTGCATCGAAAACAAACAGCAGGAAATGGCAGTGCTGAGCTGTGTCTGCCAGGAGCCATTAGCTCCATGCATGCACAGCAAGCCCTGCAGTGCTGTCCTCTATAAAACTGGGCAGCAGGAGGAGGCAGCGCCAAGCTGCACCTGCCGGGAGCCATTGGCTCCCCACATGCACAGTGAGCTCAGTTTGACTGTTCTCTCCTGCTGCCTGGTTTCAACTGGGTAGCAGGAGGAGGCAGCACCAAGTTGCACCTGCTGGGGACCATTGGCTGCCCAGACGCACAGTGAGCCCAGCTGGGCAAGCCTCTCCCACCATGTGGTTTCAACTGGGTGGCAGGAGGAAGCAGCTCAGAGCTACACCTGGAGCCATTGGCTCCCTGCACACACATTTTCAACCAGGCAGCAGGAGAAGATAGTGCCAAGCTGCACCTGCTGGAGCCATTGGCTCCCTGCATGCACAGTGACCCAGGCTGGGCTGCCTTCTCATGCCATCTGGTTTGAGCTGGGCAGCACAGAGCCTGCTCTATTTATTTTGGGCTGCAGAATAAATACACCAGAGAAAAAGAATGGCGTGTACTACAGGCACAGAATCTGGTCAAACTTAAAAGGCTTGACTGCTCAGATTCTCTACAGTAAGCTTTGCATGCATAAAGGGCCTAAGTATGGAAGAAAGGGGCATTTGTACAACACACTGATCTTGTAAAGAGGGAACATGAGGTGACAGATGTGTTAGGGTGGTTGGTTGGTTTTGCAGTGCTTATTTTTGAAAATTAATGGCAGTTATCCATATATTATTAATACTAAAGATTTGACATGAATGTCTTTTTTAAACATAAATTTTGCATGCAGAGCCAAAACCAAAGGTGTGATCCAGTCAAACTTATGGACATATAAATCCCATTAATCTTTATAGGGAAGATGTAAAAGCTTGCTTAAGTCATCCATTTAAATCAATGTTACTTAACAATTTAAATTTGATTGGATCATAAGAATATATTGAATCTGTCAAATTTATCCCCTTCCAAAATTTACCTAGCATCATCAGTGAATTAAAGAATGTTTTGTTTTAAATGCAGTCAGTTTCATATGGATGAAATAATTAGTGTGGCAGCAACATCTTAAAATATACAACAGTGTGGTAACATGAGGTTAAGTACATCATTTAGAATACATTAAATCTGAAAAAAAGATGTTTCTGTATATGAAGCCATGTATGGACTATGACCTACACTCATTATCACTGGAGTCTTCAATTTTCAGAAGCAATTAGAATAAAATACGCAATTGCATAATTTAATAGCGAGGCCACAGGGTTGTGGCTGTGTAAGTGCACAATGATGTAGTTCATTAAAAATGCAGTAATGTTTTTTATCACAGTTGTGTGTCAGAGACTGATGGGATGCTCCCTTCAGATTGATTCAGAATATTTACAACTTTTCTCAGCAGGTGTTTGGGGAAAAACTTGTCTGTTTTCTGAGAGCCCTCTCTCAACTTGTAAATTTGATCTGATTATGGATATTTCCCTTAGGCATTAGATTTAGGTGGGCTCCCAGGAGGCAGGAGCACTAGGGTCTATATAGTCCCATGCAAGGATTCCTGTGTCTTGTCAGAAGCAGCTAGAGCTCCAGCCAAGAAAGTGGCACCCAGATCTCTGAAGGGCAAAGTCTGTGTACATACCTTGTGGGAGGAACAAATGTAGTTTCTCTATTCTGAGTATACATATATGAAAATTCTGTGATTTATATGATGCATTGGCTGGGTCTTGCATTTGACATGTTTGATGATACAGAAAAAAGTGATCGTATCTTTTAGATTATATTTTTAAACAAATGCTTCTTGAAGTTTCAGACTTAGAAATTATATTGATTGAGAGACTAAGATTGCTTGGTCTTCAAACTCATTTGCATGACAGCTGTCTCAAGAACTTATTTGGCTTCTGGAGCTTGCACCTCGTGTTAGTAAATGGCATCATTTCAAAAGCCAAATAATTTTGGTTATATCCCAGCCAACAGATGTAATCTTATACCAAGACTGATTTTTCTTCTTTGAATTGTACTGACCTACTTCTTTAGCTTTATCACAATCTCTTCATTCACTGCTCTCCATTTCAAAATGATTTGTCATGTTTAACAGACTGCT